GGGGGGCCCACCCCAGCACATGATCCAAGAGGAGGTTGAGAAGGACACCAACTCAAGACCTGGGAGCAGAGATGGAAAGGAAGGAGGAAGGGAGGGAGGGAGGGAGGGAGGGGAAGAGGTTGAAGAGGCAGGAAGTGTTGAGGATTCCTGTCACACCAGCTCGGGGCCGGAAGGCAGCTGGCCTGTCGGAGCGGAGTCCATCCTGAGACTTCATCCCGGAGCCGAGGGGCCGAGTTCCGGGGGTCGCCGGGGCCGTGTGCACCCGCCACTCTCTCCCCGGGAGCGAGGGGAGCCGAGCACAGGAGGACCCGGGCCAGCCGCCCCCGGGAGGGAGCAGGGACGGGCGGAGGCGGAGCTCACAGCCCAGGGCCACGTGCTGGCCCAGGGCCGCTCCGACCCCCAGGGCTCAGTCCGCTCAGCCGCAGGGCGTTTGCCGAGGCTGGGGCTCCCCGACTCAGCCTTGCAAAAGGGGCAGTTTTTAAGTCTGTGTCGTTTCTCTACAGATTTGACCCATTTCCTGCCCGACTCCTCGGTCGACCGCCTCACAGTGAATGTTAAAGCAACCGCCTCCGGCGTTTCCCGCAGTGCGGGGGCCCTGGGAGCTGGCTCGCCCCCGCCACACTGCACAACGGCCCCTGTGTCGAGTGGCAGCAGGGGACCGTGAGCCCCGGTCTCCTCCTGGAGCCCCGGCCGGCAGCACCACAGGCCGGGGGGCTGCTGGAGAGAACCCCCGCGGCGGCACGGAGGTCAGGCACGGACACCGGGGTGCCGGCGCACACGCGTGTTCAAGGGAGAAGGTCAGGAGCTCGGGCGGGGGCTGCGCTGAGCCGGCGTCTGCTGGAGGTGGGGTCGGGCTCCGTGGGGACGAGGGGCGAGAGGGGCAGAGAAGGGCCCAGAAGAGAAGAGGGGGGTCAAGCCACCCACAGCTGGAGCAACATGGGCTACCCAGAGAGGCCGGACCCCCAGCCAGCGTCCCCTGGCTGAGCGTGAGGGGTCCTGAGATGGCAGGGCTGGGAAGCAGCTTGGAAGTCAGACACTCCGGCCATGCCCCAGCCTCGGCTCTCGGAGCCCCTGGCCGCGCACCCCAGGTCCGGGCGTGTGCCCAGAGAACGTCTCCTCCGGAGACCTGCCGTCCGGTCAGCGGTCTGAGGCGTCTCCCTCTCGCCACGGGAGACACCCGTCCCTGCCCTCGCTCCCACACGCCCTCGCTCGGTGAGACCCAGGTGTGCCTGTGGGTGCTCCCGAGTCACAGTCTCTTTCCTTGAGCTCGTGTCCCGGGCTCCATCGCTGGGTCAAAGCAAGAGGCAGCACCCGGAAGGCGTCCTGGGTGGGCACGCAGTTCACCCCGACGACCACCAGGGCGATGGTGTCACAGCCAGGTCTACCCAGGCCGGAAATGTTTCCGGCTTCGCAGGCCACGTGGTCTCCGTGGCTGGACTCGGTTCTGTCACTGGAGTGTGAACGCAGCCACGGCGATATATAAATGAGTGTGTGTGTGTGTGTGTGTGTGTGTGTGTGTGTTCCAATAAAGCTTTATTTATAAAAACAGGCGGTTGGCCAGATTTAGCCCCAGGCCGCCGTTTGCCGACCCCCCCTGCCCTCTGTCCTCACATCTGTCACTTTTAAATGGTGAAAAGGGAGGGAAGGGTATCCTAAATGTCCAACCCAGGGACACTGTTTACCAGCTGGGCCATTTGGGGCCGACTCATTCGATCCGCAGTGTCCGAGCGCCCACCTACACCAGACGCCGGGCCGAGTGCCGGGGGCGAGGCAGAGGGCGGGCCGGCCACGCACGCCGCACTGAGGGGACAACCCGAAACTCCTGGAGGAGTCTGCGGTAACCGGGAAAACCTTTACAGTGCTCCAAGAAAGCAAAATACAACATTATGAATAAAAATAGGAGCAAAGAACGTTTTTTCAAAAAAACCCGCTCGCGAGGGGCGAGAAGGAGGAACGGCAGCTGGCGCGAGTCACTGAGTCTGCCTCTGGCCGGCCCCACCAGCCCTTCCCCCACGACCCTCTCTGTCTCTTTTTTAAAAAATACCATCATCGCGCATCACTTTCACAACAAAACAGGCCTTTTTGTTGTAGTTAAGAGGGGAGGCGTGTCTTAGCTTTGAGCTGAGGTCTGTGACTCTGCTGCTTCCACCTGAGGTTGGTTTCCAGCCGACCGAAAAAGCCAAGAGTGTGGCCCGCCAGCTGTTCCCGCACTGGCCTGGGAGGCGCGGCGTTCAGCACCTGGGACAGCGCCCAGCAGGCCCCGCCCGGGGGCGGGGGCGGGGAGCCCCAGGGCAGGGAGCCAGTGCCGGCCCTCTCTCCCTCTGCGGTCCTGCTCCGTCCACCTGGGCGCTCACTGCACCTGCCAGCGGAAACAAGGGAGGCCAGAAGGGGCTGTCCCCTCGGTCTGACTGATGCAAATGGCCCCAGGCCCTGTGACCCCGCGGGGGGCGGGGGTGGGGCGGAGTCCGATTGCTGGTTCCAAGGCCGTGAGAACCGTCTAGCACAGATCCCTCCACCCACATCATCAGCTGGGAAGACACTCACATCGCACCTGCCTGGCACAGCGACGCCTGCCCCAGGCTGTGTCCCCTGCGCCCCACACCCGTGCGTCTGCAGGGGCCGTCGCCGGCGTCAACCCAGGAGAACATCTGGTGGCTTTCTCGGTAATTCCTCACGTGTTTGGTCTTCGAGGCTAAGAAGCAGGAAGTGCCCCTTTAAGGGACAGGGCCCTCAGCAGGGGCTGCGGGGTCAGGCGGTCACTTGGCTAAGAGGTTCCACCTCACACAGCACTTTCCAGAGTTTCCGTCCATCATCATGTATTCCTATCCCAGTATAAGTGTTCTGGTGCTTCCCTAAAATTCCACGGTGTCCACTTCTTGATGGGCAACTTCTCTCTCTTTCCCAAATACTTTTGTACAGGATTTTGTTGTAAAAAAAAAAAGTTTTTTTTCAAAGAAACTGTTCCTTTTCTGTCAACCTTATTTCCATTCCATTTAGGAGCCCGCTTGGTGGGGGCCGCCACCCGCTGAGTGGCCTGTGGGCAGTGGGGCTGCAGGGGCAGGCGGAGCCCCGCCCCCTCCGCCTCTGGCTACACGGCAGGGAGCTGTGGACCAGGCCCAGAGGCTCCTGCGTGACTTCTGTTTAGAGCAGTTTGAGCTCCAGCTCTCCCACTGGTGCAGCACTGTCAGCAAGGTGTCCGCGGATAAAACATCCTTTTCCCTCGAAAGGAACCATCAGTTTCCAGTCTTTCCTCAGGGCACCTGCGGCCCCTGGCCCGTTGGGAGGTGACTTCCTGCAGAGGCCAGCTGGCAGTGCCACCCTGGCCCCGAGGGGCGCTGTCTTGTCTCCCCCCACTCTCCAGCCACTGGACCAGCCTCTGCTCAGGGCAGGCCTGCTGGGGGGCTGCCCGTGTGGGGGACAGCCCTCGGGCAGAACCTCCTGTGCAGGTGCAGCAGGCCGCTGGAGCCCTTCAGGCTGGGACACTGAGCCCTGACTGGAGAACACCCCCTGACATTCTGTACCCTCTTCTTTCAAAGTCAAGTTCAGCCCGAGTTTTAGCGAGAGCCACCCTGCGGAACCTGAACGGCTGGGTGCCCCCTTCAAACCAGGGCGGCGCCTCTCCGAGCTCGAAAACAAGCCCCCCCGAACCCCATCAAGCCCCGGAGCGGGTCAGGCTCTTCCGCATCACCCCTCGGCGACCCCCCTCAGCCCCATCCCAGCACCCCCTCCTCACTCCGAGGGCTCCCCCTGCCAATCCAAACCCAGGCACATGGCACGGACGGCCTCCCACAAGGGCCTGCCCTCACGTCACACGGCCGCCCCCGTACTGCACTCTCGGTGGCACCGCCGCCTTCCCCCCCGTCCGCTCAGCCAGCCAGCCTGTTCCAGAAGCTGAGGCCGGCAGCACACAAAACAGACAAGAACCCCTGCCCTGGGGGATCCTACGTTCAAGTGGAGGGAGACATAGGTGGTCTTTGGCGGCATGGTGGCCAGGGGTGTCCTCCCTGCAGACAGAGGTGGCCTCTGAGCAGAACCCTGTGCGGTGGGTGGGGCCCGAGACGCTGGTGAAACAACCGGAGGAAAACATCCCAGGCCGGAGCGGCAAGTGCAAAGGTCCTGGGGTGGGACGTGCTGGGGTGCTCTCGGAAGGGCAGGAGGCCCTGGGGCCGGAGGGGAGGGGCCTTGGAAGAAAGATCGCAGGGGTCGGGGGCCCTGCGGGGACACCGCTTCTACCCGGAGTGCATGGCCTTGGGGGCCCAGACTCCCTCTGCCGCTGGGAGTGGACCTTGGGGGCTCACAAAGCGGGGAAGAGACCCCAGACGGGAAACTGCTGCAGTCACACCAGCCGGGAGGCGAGAGCCCCTTCAGCCAGACCCAGGACAGGGTTTCCTGGGGGGCTGGGGCGGGGGGCGACGGGAAGAGCAGAGTCGGGGGGTTCTGGCGGCCCGGGCCTGACGGACAAGAAGGGCCGGTGACGGCGGCGGCAGCAGCAAGCCGCACGGAGGGCAGGGTGGGGCTCCCTCTTCTGTGCGACTGACGGGGAGCAGCCTTCAGGGCCCCAGAGGAGCACGGTCTCCTCCAAGAAGACTTGCTCCCGCCCCCCGAATGCCGGCCCCCCGCCCTCCCTCCCTCTGGCGTGCACTCACACTTGCACGCGCACACAGAGCACTTCTCGGCACCTGTTACCTGGATCCACACTTAGTCCGCTTGGGCAACCCAAGGGGGGCTCATTTCACAGCATCTGGAAGCATCCGCACACAGTAGGTGCTCAGTAAACATCGCTGCTAACACGCTGTACAGAATCGCACCTGCGATGCTTTACTAGTCTTAACAACTCAAAGTTATTTTCCGAAACAGCTAAGAAGTGGGCTGAGCACGGACTGCTGAGTGGTAGCCCTTCCACCTGAAGCGCCGTGGGCAGAGCGGCCGACCTGCCCAATGGTGCCGCCCGTCGCGGCCAGCTCCCCTCGCGCGGAAGGCCCCGCCGAGGATGGGCTTACCTTGCCGGCCCTGACGTCCCAGGCTTTGACCTCGGGGCCGAAGCCCCCGCACACAAAGAGGCTGTGGTCCTTCGGGTGGAACTTCACGGCGGTCACGCGGAAGTCACTTTGCCCGCTGAACGTCTGGGCTCCTGGACACAGGGAGAGCAGAGAGAAAAGACTCAGGTCACAACACAAACACCTTGAAGACGCAGCTGGCACGGAGTCACGGGCCAGCGCGGCCCGCCGGGGCCCCAGGAGGCCGATGGAGTCCTTCCGGAAACACCCAGCAGCAGCAGGGACTCCGGCCTCGCTGCCACCCCACCCTGACGCGCTGAACCCCCGCCCCCCGGGGCTAAAGGGGCGGCCGGGTCTGTGAAGGCCGCCCGCAAGGTGCTCCGAGACACCGACGTTTACCGACGCATCTGGACCACCCCAGACCCACTTTCAACGGAGAATCAGCCCCTGGGGAGATGGGGGGCATCTCCAAAGCCGCCCACGCCAGGGTCTTTGCCTGTGGGCCTAGGGGTCCGAGGAAAAGCGGGGTGTTCGAAGGGATTCCTTCCAGGGTCGGCCCCCGCAGCGTCACACCCTCACCTCGCCCACGAGGGTGTGGCACCGAGCCAGGCAGTGGGGGTGGCGGGACCCTCGGACACCAAGCACGTGGGAGCTGCCCTGGCCCTCACCCGCGATGCGCCCGTGGTGCAGGGCACGGGGCCTCACGGGGGGTCCAGGACTCGGGCCGGCCCTCACCCTCGGGTGTCCGTCCTGAAGCTGCCGTGGAGCCCGTGCGTGTGCCCTGCGGACGTCCCTGTGCTTCCCGCAGAGGTGCCCACGGGGGCTCCCTGGCCGACCAGGGCACCCTTCACGGCCGTGGGCCCCGGAACAGCCCCGCTGGGCTGAGGCCGCGGGCCAGTGGGGACGCCAGAACCCGGAGGCCGAGAACACAGGGGTCTCCCACCGCATCGCGTCCTCTCACGGGACCCGGGCAGCGCCTCCGCTCACCCCTCCCCCGCCGCAGAAGGCACTTCCTGAAGGCCACCCTGCTGAGAGTGCCCCCACCAACTAGTGACCTGTTCCACCCAACCCCTGGGCGTGGGCAGGAGAGCCACCGGGACAGGGCAGGAGAGCAACCAGCCGCACCGTCGAGGCCCCAGCAGCAGCCCTCACAGACCCCGCCGGCCCGGACCCGCGGTCCCCGGGCTGCCCGGCGGCACCGCCCGTCGGCGAGAGCCCCGCTCCCTCGCCGGCACAGGCAGAGCCGCACGGTGTGCCCCGTGCTGGTGCATGTGGGTGTCCACCGAACGCCGGGCACTCTGAAGGGGGAGACGAGGAGGAGATGGCCGTTATCCAAAAACACGCCGACATGCCGTGCGCTGAGAGTATCAGCAAACTTCTCCGAAATTCTCAGTACATTCTAATGTTGCATTTTTGGCGAGAGCGACGGGGTGGACTATGCTCCCATTTTTTTTTCCCCAGTGCAGGGGACTTCTCTGACTCGGTGACTTGAAAGCAGCCCAGTCGAGGCCGGTCTGGCCGCGGACGTCCGGCCGCGCCGCGGGGAGGGAGGTGCCTGCCCTGGGCAGCGGGGGAGGCGCCCCTGCCCCTCCCCAGGAGTGATGTGTGACCGTGCGGCGTGAAGAGCCCTCCCCCCCACACGGTGCCCGAGAACGGCTCCTGCCCCTCGGCCCCTCGGCCCCGGGGAGGGCCGTGTGCTCAGGTTCCTGACAGCCCCGCGCACGATACACCGACATCTTCGCGGGGGGCGGTTTACAGCCGACTAGAAGAACACGGCCCCCGGTTCGGGGTGCGGATGTCCGAGCCGTCACGGGCGACACAGGCACGTCGTGTCTGGCTTCGGAAGTCACAGAACGACGGAAACAACTAGAAACACCTGTTTCCGTAACGTCCTTTCCCCGGAGCAGGGCCGTGGGAAGCAGCCGCCCCTGCTCTTCGCTGCGGCCTCGCTGCGCCTGACGGACGACCGAGCGCCGACTCCTTCCCGCTGTCTTCCAGGGGCAGCCACTTCTCATCAGAGAAAATTCTGGGAACACTCGACCTTTTACAAGGGAAGACTCGGTGCCTCTTTAAGCTCCCCAAGCCCTTTAGCTGTTAGGTCCCGCGCTCACACCCGGGGCAGGAGGGCGCTCACGGCCACCCTGTGTCATCGCCACGCCGTCGAGAGCCGGCCGCGGTGCCCACAGTGGTGAAGGGGCCGCACGCCACAGCCCAGCCGCCCAACCCGAGTGCTCCGCCGGGTGGGGGGTCCAAACGCCACTTAAAACCAGAACGAGACCCCGAGGCCGCGACAAGGCGGACCCCGCCTGAAGCCTGTCTCTGAGTTACGAGTGCGCCACGCGGGGCCGGCCGGGGCCAGGGCCTGGAAGAGAGTCACCAACGTGAAGTGCCTTCCAGGGACACTGATGTTGTTGTTGTGATGATGATGCTCTCTGAAAACAGAGAATTATTCTAGAAGAAAGGCACCGGGGCGGCAAGCAGACTCGCGGCGGGCGGGGCGCCGTGTCCCCCTCCCCCACCCCGTGCCCGGGCCAGCAGAGACGCCACAGCCTCGAGGACACCACACGGAGCCCCCTGGGGACGGACCTACTCGGAAGCCCGGGGTTCCTCAACCTCATTCTTCTTTTCCTTTCCTGAAACCCATCCGGAACCCAAGGGGGTGGTCAGGAACCGCTGTGACGTGCCCGTGAGTAAGTGCCCGTCCCCCGGAGACTGCCGCAGGCGGCTGCCACCTGCGGTCCCCACGCGTCCATCGTGGACACGGGGCGGCACCGTGGAGCCTCCGGGACGGGTCTCTCCCCTGCGGCACGGGCCCCAGGATGCTGGCTCCGGCCCAGGGGCGGGGGTCCCCGCTGGGGGCTGAGGGCAGAACCCACCGCCACATCCCCTGGACGGAACAGGAGCTCACCGGCGCCCCTGCGGCCCCCCACCACCGAGCAGGCCCCGGGGGGCCGCGTCTTTTCTCCCGACGGAGACAACCGTGCCTACTGCCGACTCCTTGCTCGTCTGGGACGCACCGCCAACCCTTACGTCCAAAAGGAAAAAACACACTCTATCTGCCTGGGGAAAAACGTCTCCGTTTCTTGGACCGGAGCATGGAACATATGCTCACCGCAGAAACGGCGGCGAGTTCGCCGCGGCTCTTCAAAAAGTGCAGCGGCGCCGGCTTGCCAGCGGGTGGGCGGGGGGGGCGATGGGCGGAGAGGTGCAAGCTGAGTCGCCAAGAGAGGGCTGAACTTTTTGTTGTGAAAAAAAAAATACGTCTGATTATGTTCTTCGTCTTCACCCCCGGAAGAGACCGAGAGAGGATCTGGTGTTTAAGCACCAGCGCACCCCGGGGGAAGGCCAGCTGCAGTCTGCGTCTCTCCCTGCTCCCACCCCAGCACCCGGGCCGTGGCTCCTGCACACGCTCCTCACTGAGGAATGAGTACCAGGGCCCACAACTACGGGATTTTAGGGCCGTTTCACTGAGCTTCCAGAAGCCTCGCGGGAAAGACGAGGGGGACTCCCGCGTGGTCAGGAGCCCCGGACAGACACGGGCCGGAGTGTTCTCGGCGGCGGCAGGCGGGCGGCGGGGAGCTGGGAGCCCCACGGACAGGCCGCCCGCCCAGCGCCGTCCCTCCCGGTGAGGGGCCCCGGGCACGTGCCTGCACCGCGCGCCATGCACCCTCACCAACACCAGGTTGCAGGGGTATGGAGCATCCCCGGGCAGGGCCCCCAGCAGAGACGACAAAGGGAGCTGTCGCCGTCGGAAGAAGACGACTAACCCCAGAACGACTGGACATGTCCCTGGTCGCAGCAGCAGCAGCCGACGCCCAGGACACAAGCTCAGGCCAGCGGCAGCTGTGGGAGACCAGCGGCTTGGAGCTCTTCTTCTGCGTGAGGCTCTGAGGCCCCGTGCCGTGGGCTGGCCTTCGTGCTCTGCCGGACAGACACATGGGGAGGGGCGGGACACGCCTGCCAGAGGCCCCCCCTCCCGGGACAGGAACGTGGGCCCCACTGCCGGCGGAGGCCCCCCCCACCCGCCAGGTCAGTCTCTGCCCCGCACGCACCTTCCCACACCCGAGGCGCCTGCTGCTCACACCCTCCCCCAGCAGCGCCACTCGACGGCCACGGGTGGCTGCTGTGTGACCTCCAACCCTGAGACTGCCTCGCTTGTTTGCATGTGCGCCGTGGAAGATTCTGTCATTCCCTGTGTGCTGCTTGTAGGAAGTTGAGTTTCCGCACATGTGACCCACCAGCACAGACTCTATTGACCTTGTTCTAATGAAGCCGACCGTGTACGAGCTGTTTGGTTTGCCGCCGACGCTCCCGCCACCAGCACTGCTGTGCGAAGGTGCTGGCGACACCGGCCGGGCGACCCTCGGGCTGGCCCCTCTTCCCGTCTCGGGTGGAGGCAGACAGGTGCCCAGTGGGGACCAGCACACATGGCCGGGCTGACATGGCCCGCCCACCCTCGGCCTGCCTGGGGGGCCCTGCCAGCAGGCAGGGGTCCGCGTCCACGAGGGTCCTCCTCTCCCGCCCGCTGTCTGGCCGCCAGCCCGGCTCAGGTAGGAGCTGCGCGTGGTGCCCGTGCGCCTGCCGCCTCCGGGCCGCCTGGGGCCTGCACGTGTGCTGCCACGGCCGGCCGAGGTCACTGTGAAGGACCCGTCTCACGGCTCAGGCAGGGGAAGCTCGGAGAAGCCCACCCGCGTCCAGGGCCCGCGAGCCCCCACGCCGGGACGGAGGCTGCGCCTGCCGCCAGCACCCCGCTCTCGGGGGGGCCCCCCCCGCGCCTGCCTGCGAGCTGCCGGGGACCTCCCCCTCCCCCGAGCGCTCGGTGTGCCTGTGCACCCGGAGGCTCATGGCCACGTGCAGACGCGCCGACTGGGGGAGGGGTGCTGGCGGCTCGCGGGGACGGAGCCTCCGTCCCAGCCAGGCCGCCCGTGACTCACGCCGCCAAATCCAGCACCTTCACCCTCAAGCCCGGGGAAGCAGCCAGCCAGCTGCAAATGCAACCGTCCTGACTCGGACCGACGAGAAAAGATCGCTAACTCCACATCGAACTCTCCTCCACATCGAACTCTCTGGATCAGAATCGGGCCCCACCTGGGCACGTGGGGTGCGTCCTGGGAAGGGCCCGGGCGAGAGCCCCACGGGCCTGAAGGTTCCCTCTGGGTCGGCCGGCAGCCACCTCACGCCCGAGGGGCCCCACGTGCATCACCGGGAAACAGAGCTCACCTCAAGGGCCGCTGTGCGCACGAGGAGTGATGCGGGAAAGTCGGGCAGCTCCCCGACGGCGGACGAGCCTGACACGCAGCTGCGGCGGCAGCACGGAGCACAGAGCACGGAACACGGAGTAGTGACGGTCGCGTGATTTCTTTAGAGCGAGTTGAGCCACGGGTCTTTATTTTCTGAGCAAGACCGAATTTCCCAAAATTTCTTAAAAAATGTTTCTGCTAACCCTGGCCGGGTGGCTCCATTGGTCAGAGCGTCATCACGCACACTGAAAGGCTGGGGGTTCGGTCCCCAGGCCGGGTGCGTTCAGGAGGCAACCCATCCCATCTTTGTTTCTTTTTCCCTCCCTCCTTCCTTCTTTCTCGGAAATCAACGAGTATATCCTCAGGTGAGGATTTAAAAAAATAAAAACTTTTCAACTAGCAAAAAAGGGGCGTCCCAAAGGCTTTCCCGCAGCCACTGACCCGGGACCCAGAACGCACCCCACCCAGACGGCCGGCATGCGAGGGCCACGCATGGTCAGGTCCCTGCCAGGATGGGGCGGCACCCACCCACGGAGCCCGGCGCCCTGCACCCCGCTGGGCCCGCCCAGTGCGCAGGGGCAGTCTTACCTACCGGGGGCAACAAACTGCACCCCAACCGCAGGGCCCCACCCACAGACGCACACACCCCCCCACCCTGTTCTCCCGGTGACAAACGGGACGGCACTACGCAGGAGAGTGAGCGCTCCGGCACCCGGAGGGCTGGCACCAGCCTGGCTTCCAGGCGGGCACAGGAGGGCCCTGGTGCAGCAGCGGGAAGGCCCTGGGCACTTCCCCAGGCGTGCGGCCCGGGCTGGCAGGGGTCCCCCCGGAGCTGGGTCGGCCCCTCGCTGAAGAGCTGTGTATGGGGGGGGCGGGGAGAACGAGGCCGAGACTCTTCGGAGACAGACAGTGGGTGGGAGCAGGGACAGCCGTCCGGGGCTGAAGCCTGCAGGGGGTGCGGCCTTGGAGGGTGGACACACACACGGGACGCGGGGTGGGGCTGCAGTGAGGGCACCTGGGGGTGGGGTCACAGACGACGGCGACGACCATGGGGGGGAGGCCCAGGAGCCTGTGGTCCCGCCTGTGTCAGTGGGAGGGAGGGAGGCTGGGGCGGGGGGCAGGGGCAGCTCAGACCTCACCAGCTCCCCGGCCCCCAGGTCGGAGCCTCCGCATCTGGACGGAGCAGCCGAGCCCCCGGCACCCAGGGAGCGGACACACGCCAGGCCTGCGCCGTGCAGGGCTCCGCACACGCGCCCGCCGTGGGAGACACCACCGACGGCCTCTCCACCGGGACCGGGACCGGGACCGTCCGAGACACGTCGGGAGACACCCTTGGTCTGGGTGCCCAAGGCCCCTCTAGAGACCTCGCCCAGCAAGGAGCCCCTCCCGCGGCCCCTCCCCGGCGCCAGTGGGCCGGGGGGCACCTCACCGGGGTTCTCATTTGGACGCTGCTCACCCCCCGTGTGCCAAGTGTTCCAAAGCCGCCAGGGCTGACATTTCTCGCGCCGGAGCGGCAGCTGCCGATGAGCCGGAGGGGCATCCTTCATTCGGTCACTTAATCAGCGGGATCAGTCGAGACCCGCCTGGCGCACCTGCCTCCCGGGCCCCGAGCTCCCTCTGCAGGAGGCGAGCCAGCCGCTGGCTCGGAGCCCAGTGGGCCCCCAGGGGTCGGCCTGCGCACACTGTCCACAGCGGGAAAGCAGGCGTGGTGCGGGCACGCCGTGCCCACGTGTCATAGGACAATGCCGCCGCCAGTCACACAGGCTGAAGCCAGCGGTACAGCCTCAGGCGGCTCACCGAACTCTCCAAGCCTCAGTGTCCGGGCCAGTGAAATGGGGACAGAAACAGCCCCCTCACAAGTTACTGTGGAGACTGACTGTTTAATCAGCAAAGGGTCTAACAGCCATTTACTCATTTCAGCTTGAACTTGACACAGACCTCGGCCCGCCACGAGCGCTCGGCCCCTTTGCCACCCTGTTCCCTTACAGCCCGTCTGTGATGGGGCCCCCAGGGGCCCGAGCTGGGGGGAGGGCACCGGGAGGCCCTCCAGGGCAAGTAAGAGGAGTGGTCACTGATGGACGCAGATCCGGTCGGCCACCCATTTCCATGCACCATGACCTTCCCCACCAAAAGGCACATGCAACCCCAGCCACGGGGCCCCAGTAGCCCCTCTCCCGGCTGCAGAAACGGGCCAAGGAGCTGCCCTGAGGATGCCCGGCTCGGGCAGCCGGCAGGGCCAAATCTGCACCCGTCCACGCCCCTGGCGCACGGGCGGCTGGGGCTCGGGAAGGGCAGGGCGCTCCGCCCAGCCAGGGCCCTGGGGCTCCAGGGAGAGAACCGGCTCCTTTACTTTGGAGGCCTGACCAGCCCAGCTGGGATGACCGCCAGGCGGGCGGGGTGTGCAAGAAACCCGCCCCACTTGGGGCGGAGCGAGCTCCCCCGGGCTTCTGGTGCTCGGGACAGCCGCCCCGCCCCGCGGAGCAGGCCCTGGTGGAGGGGGCGGGGCCGGCGCTCCCTGAGGGGCCCAGCCGCGCGCCCCCGAAGCGTGTTGTTGGGAAGATTACGGGCGGATACAAGAGCAGGAAAAGTCAGTAATCTGTGAGCGGGTTTGGTCTAGGTGTGGACTCACGGCTGCTCGGTCAGCCCACGGCCCGTCGGAACTACACGTCAACGAGGGGAAGTGCGGGCAGCCCTCCGCATTTCGGGCCGGGCGCGGACGTGTGAGCGCCCGCAGATCTCGGACGGTGTTGACGGAGGACGCCAGGATCAAACGGTCTTGGCACCGGACCCCCGTTAACGACACGGAGCACCGGGGGGCCGACTCCCCAGGGCTGCGGCGAGAACGTCCCGCCCCGCCTTCTCCTGGCGGGGAGAACTAATTAGATGGAAACGGGGCAGCCCAGTCGCGGGGGGGCAGGCAGCTCGGCCGCAGAGGGCGCTCAGACTCGGTGACGGGAATCGGCGAGAGGCCAGACCAGGCCGGAAGCCACGGAGGAGGCCTGCGCTTCCTGCACCTCCTCTGAGTCGCTGGGGAGAAGCCAGGCGCACCCCCACCTGGAGTCGCCGGGCCCCAGGACGGGCACAGACCCCAGCGCCACCCCTGCTGGGCCAGGCAGAGGGACAGAGGCTGCCCAGGGGCTCCCCTCGTGGCTCTGCGGTGGGGCCCAGTGGGAGAGCGACCCAGGAGGAGCCCGAGCAGCAGAAGGCGGTCGGTCACCGGGGAGTCAGGGCCGAGGTGCGCCCCGACTCCGTCCTCACCTGGCACCGCCCCGGGCCCACCCGCTTGGGGCTCCGCTGGATCCGGTGCTGACCCTGCCCGCTGCACGGGAGGGGTGCCCAGGGGCGAGAAGTCCCTTCCACCGACCCCTGTCTCCTCTGGCCCAGCTGGCTGGGGGCCCCCTCGGGCCCGCCCAGCGCACGCCCGCCTCACCCAGGCGCCCGTGCGGCACGGGCATCGAGGCAGAGTGCGTCCGCAGACCCGGCCCAGGAGCTGGGATCGCTCCGCGCCGCCTCCCGACAGGGACGGACGGACGGGAATCCTGAAGTGGTTCTGACCAAGGACCCCGAGATAAAGCTAAATCTATGCCGGCGCAAATTAAATGTCAGACGTTGATTAAAGAGGCACCTTGTTATCCAGCCCCACGGCTGGGGGCTGGGACAACCCCGGGGCTCTGTCCTCCTCTGGTGGCTGCCTCGGGCCTGCCTCGAGCCCTCTGGGGAGGAGCTCGGCTCCAGGCTGACCGCCGCACCTGCGCTGGGCCTGCGGCCCGCGTCCCACGGCCCCGACAGCGGCTGCCAGCCACGGAGAAGCGCCCCCCCGGGAGAAGGCAGACTCGGTGACCAAGAGGGGCGCCCTGGGGTCAGGGCACAGAGGAACACACCTGTCTCGAGGTCCGTGAGGTGCAGGGCGCAGTCGAAGCCGCCGCTGAGGACGCACCGGCCGCAGGGGGACCACCGGGCGGCCCGCACGGCCTCGCTGTGTGGGCGGTAGGTCTGTAGGCAGCCCCCCGAGTCCACGGCATTCCACACCTAGGAGGCAAGCACAGCCCAGAGGTCAGAAACGGGGTGCCTGGCCCCCGCCGAGGAGAGGGGTCCCGCAGGTGAACTGGATTCCCTTCGTTTCGGCACCGAAACAAGATCTAGGGGTCAAACTCTTCCTCGTACAAAGGTACAGGCTTGGGGCTGGGGCTGGTGGGCTGAAGGGGGGCTTTTCCCAAAAACTTTCTGGGGTGCAGGGAGCCTGAACGCAAGTGTCCGAGCTCCAGAAAACACGCGGCCCAGAGCGGCCTCCCCAGAGTGCCGAGGGTGCCCGGCCCCTTCCTCCCTCACGGGGGGGGGGGGGGGCCGCCTCCGGAGCCTCGGGCCGAAGAGCCGAGAAGAGCAGCGTTCGCACTCGGAGACACGGACGGAAGTAACAGAAGGGGCAGCCGGAGCGCTCCGAGTGGAGCGGGGCTCACGGCAGGCAGACGGGTGGCGTGCCGGGCGCCGCTGGTGGGGTTTTTTCAGAACTGTGTACAAGTCTAACTTTAACAGAAAAAAAAAAGTAAAATTAATGGACTAGATCCACCAGGTCAACACGGCTAAAGAGTGAGTATATATACACGTACACACACACACACACTGAGTACACGGGTCATGCTGCTTACACAGAGCATGATGCCATCTGAGTTCTAAAAAGGCCGCCTCACACCCGCTAGGACGGCTCTCTCGGAAGCAGAAGAGCAGACCCGGCGGCCGCGAGGGCGCGGGGAGGCTGGGGCCCCAGCGCGCTGTGGGAGGGGACGCAGAACGGTCCGACCCCGCGGAAAACAGCTGGGCCCTTCCTCCAGAAATGAACCCAGAATTACCCCGTGACCCAAAGGAATGGAGACCAGGGCCTCAAAGAGAGGCAGGCGAACCCGTGCCCACGGGCACGCTCCTCGCGGCGGCCGAGGGCCCGGCGACAGGCGAACGGATACACGAGACGCGCCCGGCCCACCCGGTGGAATGCCGTTCGGCCCCCAAGAGGACGGAGATTCTTTCACAGGCTGGCGTGGGGATGCGCCTGGAGGGCGGCGCTCCCACCAACGACAAACAGTGTACGCACGACCCCACTCCCGTGAGGGTCCTCGAGTCGCCGAAACCACAGAGCTGGACTGGGGGCGGTGCGGCCAGCGGCGGGCGGATGGGGGCGGGCGCTTGGTGGGGACGGTTTCCGTCCTGCAGGACGGAACGGGTCTGGGCCGGAGGGCGGCGACGGCTGCGCAGCAACGTGAGTGAACTGAACGCCGCTGAGCCGGGCACGTGAAGGCCAGTGAGGCGTGGTGCGTTTCATGGGATGTGCACTTCAGCACAATGTTTAAGACACCCCTGAAGTGCGAGTCCGGCTCGCACACCCGTGAGTTCCCGGCAAGGCTGGAACCGGGCGGGCGCGGAGACGCCGGCCGCTCCCGGGGACGGAGGGAGGAGAGAAGGGCCGGGCAAGGGAGCCGTGAACGCCGCGCCGTGCCTCCTCTGAAGAGCGGCAGGGACGGAGGGGGAACGAACCTGCTCTGAAGCAAACGTGCCCCAACGCTGCTCTCTATTAGGCTCCTTCACTCAGGCGTTCACTCGGCGAGCCTTTCCCGCGCGCCTGCTGTGAGCCGGGCGCTGTGCCGCAGGACACGACGTCCGTCACACAGAACCCTGCCTGCCAACGCCCGTTCCAGTGGGTGCACAGACAGACTCTGGGCAGGATGGGCAAGCAGAATCCATATGGTATTTCAGGCAGCAGCTACTCCTGGCCGTCTAAAACGGAAGGAGGAGAAGGGCTATCGGGCGAGCAGAGGGGGCTGGAGAGGGGCTCTCGGAGGAGGTCACCTGCAGGAGGGAGCTCTCCAGAAATGGCGGAGAGAAGCCTGCAGGTGCACGCAGGACCACCCTGGCTGGCCACTGGCAGGGAGGAGAGGGAGGGACCGGGGCGATGAGGGGCTTCGGTGAGAGTCCAGTGGAGAGAGGATGGTGTGGACCGGCTGGGCACAGTGGAGAACCGGCCCTGCTTGGAAGGCAGAGCCAACAAGATTTCCTCGGCTTGGAGGCGGGGCAGGAGGGCAGAGAAAAGTGCAGGCCACGCCCCTCAACTCTGGACAGAACGCCCAGAGGAATGGCGAGGCAGGAGGGTGACCCACGACAGCAGCTGCATGTTTGGGGGAGACCAGGGGCTCAACTTGGGGGAACAGAGAGCAGGCAGCTGGATACATGAGTGTGAGGTCCCGGGGAGAGGCTGAGCTTGGGGCTCACTGTCAATGACAGTCTCTCAGTCACAAGCTGTGATCAACGTAGAGCAGAGAGGAGGCCCAGCGTGCACGGGCAGGGGTGTGCGAGCAGGCCACAGGGAAACCAGAAAGGGGTCCGAGAAGGAGCGGCCGAAGAAGCGGGAGGGAAACCAGGGGAGGGGTCTCCTGGAGGCCGGGGGGGGATGGGGGGGAGACAGAGCAGTTTGGGCCCCACGTGGCTGACACGCGGATCAGACGAGAGCTGGGACAGGCCCCTGGAGTTTACAATCAGAGTGGTGCGTGCGCAGGTGTCTGCTATGTCACTTTCTATACTTTGATGTTTAAAATATTTCATAATTTATAATGAGGAAGAGGAGGAGAGATGAGGGAAGGAGAGGGAAGAGGAAGCGGGAAAAGGAGAGAAGGAAAGAGAGCAAGGGGGAGGGGGGAGGGGGGAGGGGAAGGGGAGGAAATCGATGGATGGTGGCCAAAGTTGAAGAAAGGAGAAGAGAGCAGAGAGTTCTGCGGTGCGGGGCCAGAAGCAGCAAACGGGAAGTTTGAATTCTCGGCCAGGGGCCGGCCTCCTGAATCCGCGACGGAAACCCGTTTAAGGAAACCCGTCCATCTGTAAACTGCCCAATAACCCCCCTCTGGAGTGCACAATGCACACGTGGCTGTCCTGCTTCATACACGCACAACAATGGCATCGGAATCAATGCAGACCAGTCAGCCGCTCCTCAAAGCTACCCGGGGTGGAGGCAAGAAGAATCTTTGCTAATCGTTCTCCCTAATTGAATTTAATGTTTACTGTCAGGTTTTAAAGATTGGTTCCCAAACGCCACGGCAGCCTGAAGTGTGTGCCTTTTTTCAGTTAGGTAATCAGACATCCCCATCTGTCTGCGTGGAATTAAGGAGGCAAGTCTTCTGTCGAACGTTCTAAGGTGACTTAATGTATTAACTAGAAGCTGAATGTGTGTCCAGCGAAAGTCAGATCTGGAAAGAACATGACAAGTAAAATGTGGTGCTCACGAGTCTCAGGTGTGCCGCGGGCTCCGTGTCCTCCTGGCTACGGAGACGCGGCCCCACCAGGAGTTCTCAGTCTCTCAGACCTGCTTCGCCCTCGGTCACATTCTGCCTGCCTGCCTGCCAGCCTTGTTTTCGATTATAAAAACATATGCAATATTCTTATAAGATATTCAAATTATACAGAAGTACAACAACCCAAATGAAGTAAGAATCAACTGCAGGATGGCTGTGTCTCTGACTACATTGGAAATAAGTCTGTTCTGCTTTCAAAAAAAAAAAAGTCAAAAAATAAGAACACAAAGAGGTGAGTAAGATTCATCCGTAACTCCACCACCTGGAGATAACGGCTGTCGGACTTCCCGGTGAATCCCTACCTCCCATCTGGCCCTAGGAGGGGCCCTCCCAGCTCAGCCCTGGCTCCTGGCCTCCTCTCTGTCCTCTGACAGCCCCACCACCCGGGATTTCGATCTTAGAGACCAGTGTCAGACTCACACGGCTCAGCACAAGCCTTTGCAGCCAAGTGCCCAAGACTTCCCCAGGTCATTTGTCTGCAAAAGCTTTGGAACCTGCTGACACTGCACTGAAACTACACACCAATTTGGAGAGATGTCTCAACAATATTGAGTTTCCTTCTGATGCCAGAACATAATATGTTTCTCCTTTTGCTTAGGTATTCTTTAATTTCTCTAAGCAGCAGTTTGTAGTTTTTTAATGAAAAAAATCTTAGACAGCTGTTGTCAAATTTATGCCTAATTATTTCATATTTGGATAATACTGTAAATGGTATTTTTAATTTTAGGTTCTTCATTTCTAGTATGTAGAAATACAATTAAGTTTATATATTGACCATGAGTTCTGAAACCATGCTAAACTTAGTTCAAGAAGTTTTATAGATTCAGTAGCATTTTCCACATAGACAATCACGTTGTCTGTGAAAAAGACAGTTTTGCTTCCTCCTTTCCAATCAGACAGCTTTTGTTTCTTTTTCTTGCCTTATTGCACTAGCTAGTATCTCCAGTACAATGCCAAATAGACATAGTGAGAGCAGACACCCTTGTCTTCTTCCTGATCTTGTGAGGAAAGCAGGTTTTACACAGATAAGTATAAGGCTAGAGCTAATCTTTTCGTAAATGCCCATTATCTGTTTGAGAAAATTCTCATCTATTTCTAGGTTTGCTGAAAGTTTCAATCAGGAATAAATGCTGGAAATTGTCAAAAGCTTTTTATACATCTCTTGACCAGACTATATAGTTCTTCTTTTTTTAATATATTTTATTTCTTATGCTATTAGTTGTCCCATTTTCCCCCTTCACTCCCCTCCCTCCTTCCCACCCCCTCCCACCCACATTCCCCCCCTTTAGTTCATGTCCATGTGTCATAAGTTCTTTAGCTTCTACATTTCCCACACCATTCCTGCCCTCCCCCTATTTTCTACCTATTGTCCATGCTACTTATTCTCCATATCTTTTCCCCTCTCTCCTCCTCCCACTTCCCTGTTGCTAACCATCCATGTGATCTCCATTTCTGTGGTTCCACTCCTGTTCTATTTGTTTGCTTAGTTTACTTGTGTTTTAGGTGTGGTTGTTACTAACTGTGAGTTTGCTGTCTTTTTTTACTGTTCATATTTTTTATCTTCTTATTCTTAGATGAGTCCCTTTAACATTTCTTACAATAAGGGCTTGGTGATGATGAACTCCTTTAACTTGGACTTATCTGAGAAGCACTTTATCTCCCCTTCCATTCTAAATGAAACTTTTGCTAGATAGAGTA